TGATTATCGTTATCCTTATACGGCTGTGGCCTATTATACCATCTTACACGTGTAATAGGTCAGCGCCGTTTGCATGTAATTCCAAAGTTGTTAAATCTGGACATCGATTCGGGATTAGTTTCAGGCTTTCGAATCCCGAATCGTGACCCAGTTAAGCTGGAATATACAGTAATCACATCAGAGTTTGGTACTATGGAGCGTTATTTAGCTGAGTTATAGTAAATGCAAGAGGAATGACTGCTATCAGTTCACTATACTTTCGGCACTAACAGTTGTACTAAAGAGGTACTATTAGTTTCGGTCGTGTTCACAACCAGCATTACTCTTATACAGAATTAATTTAGGTATTATATTGTAATCAGACTTGAAAATACTATCAGTTTTGCTTTTATATAAAATCCTATCTCGTCATGAATTATAGCACTGTATATAGCCTAACAAGCATTACCATATAGTCTGTATTTTTACTATATTATTATATATTATACTGTATTAGTAATACCCTCAAGCGCCGGGGGCTAATTACTATTATCCTTTTAGAATTTTAGTTACTAGTTACTCTATCAGTAAGACCTAAGATACCTTTAAAAAGCTACCCTATCTCTAACAAGAGTATAAGCAACTACATACTATTATGATAATATCCCCTCAGGCGCCGGGTTGCTGTCCCTCAAGCGCCGGGGGGCTGCCCCTCAGCGCCGGGGGGCTTTTTGTCACATGTCATTATACTAGAGTTAAGGAGACTGGGCTAAGATTGCCCTGGCCCCAATCCACAGGAGAAAACGAGCTTAATAACGATGAGTGGCTCGGTAGACACCAAGCTTTTGTCTCATCGGATACTGGACGCTCATTGTCTCCTGTGGTTTTGTGACAAGGCAATTTAGTACCAGGGCTACGTAAAATCACGTACAAATGTGACAAGTGACAAGGAGGGGTAATACTGCAAAAGTCATTGTACTCAGCTTGTCACATAAGGGTCGGTTCCCCTAATTTTCTAAAGACTTAACGAATGTCTGTTAAGGGTCATTTAGGTCATTAACCTTATGAGTCGTGCAAAAAGGACTTTTTCTGGGCTACGGCCCTACCCCTCCTTGTCTCTTGTCAATTTGTACTAACCGCTGCGCGAGGCTTTGTAGAGATCCTTTTGGATGCTTTGTATCTGTGGGAGTGAAAACACCTTTGCGTGTACGGCTTCGAGGAAAAACTTAAGCAAAAGACGTGGGTGAGACGCTTTGATAATCTGGCGATGGAGAAAGGGTTTGTCTTTGACATCCTGAAGTACATCTTGATCGGGCATCAACATCATTATTTTTTTCATGAGTAAAGGGCGATCAACAACAGCACTGAGAAGCTCATCGTCAGCCATGTCTTCGAGAAAACAGAGACGATCGACTGCGTCGGTAGACATAGAAGGACCTCTCACGTCAAGGCCACTTCTTGCATATTGCTCAGCGTGTTGTCTGATGTCATCTTCGTTGTCCTCTGAAGGAGCCGCGGCAGCGGCATTGGGGCTACCGAGGAAGCGATTGTAATAACGATCGCTCATGTTATTGCAAAAACGATTTTGTGTCAGTATGGCTAAACTTTCTATAAATTTTTTACTAGGTAATTAGTTTTTCGTCATTGGTTTACTGTGGCAAATGACCGTATTGTGACCAACCCTGAGCAAGACGACAAGTAATATACTCGACTCCTTTACGGCTTGCAGCATGGTGCAAGCTAGGGAGATCGGCCCAACCGGCGAAATCGCCGTCGCAATTTACGAGCCAGTCAAGGTCGTTAGTACGGCGATGGCCTGTAAGCAATGCCAATGGCAAGCAAGACCAGCCAGAGCGGTACAAGTATTCGGAGGATAATCAGGATTAAACAGGTAAGCGTTTGTGTGTCCATGGGGGAATGTAGAGTGGTAATTACTGTTAAATCTTTCAGCACCGTTATAGCCTGAAATAACAGTTTTACATTGGAAGTCATTTGTTGCGTCATTTGTGCCGCACATCGCGTTAACGTACGAAGCGCACACGCAGAAAGTAATAAAAAAGAAGACGTTCTTCATTTTGCGAGAAATTTAATTTATGGTATGTTTACTGTTCTCGTTTGTCAAACCCGCGTGGTTTTGAAACCCACTTCGCGTGATATCTATTTGTCCATTTTACGATGGATCTGAGAGGCAGGCAACTCCGGTGATGCAGCCTGGGCAATACGAAGACGGTCAATCTTCGTCAACTGGTTGCGAAGATTGCGGATCTCTATTTCTTTAATGATTTCATCAATCGAAAGAGTGTTAGACGCGTTGGGATGAAGAAGAGTCAAGTAATTATGGAGTTTCTTGCGCTTCAAGACTTCAATAAGTAAATTTTCATCAGGGACACCTTCGGCGATAAGAAGCATAAAATCATCCATTCCAAAATTAGATGTACTGTCAAAAACACGTCGGTCTTTGATCACCAATCCCAATAACTCCAGATCAGAGTAGTCTTGAGTAACCAGCATGAGGTTCTTGGCTCGGCGTTCCGCAAAACCAGAAACAGATTTAGTGGCATTGGTGTTGTGGGTCTTCATGTCGTCGATAAATTTTAGTACAGGGGTGTCCTGTGAATTGTAAGAAGAAGGCATGATCGATTGTGAGTATTAAGCAAGTTTTTAACTGTGTGATCTTTTGAGATCTTGTCATTGCTCGTGCAATGACAAAGATCTCTTGAGAACAATGACGCAGCAATGACAAAGATATGTCACCGGTTGACGACAGACGAAAGAATCTATGCTGGGGATTATACAAGCGCGAGCCGACACGTACGACAGACAACATGGGACGCCAGACGTGGCAACGAGCGGGTTGGCATTACAGAACGGGAATAGCTCGGCAATTTACAGTATCGACCTCCAATCGACCTCCGTTTCAGTTTTCCATGGGGAAGATCTTCTCGATCTTTCAACTCTCAACAGCACTTGACAACGACAACACAAACAACCACCCATCATCCATCTCCTACCCAATATCCATCACCATGACCTTCTTGACGTCTCTTAGCACTACTACTAGCACCACCATGAGACGGCATTTGCTGCGACGAGCCTCCACACGACGGCAACCACGACGACGACAACATCAACAAAGAGGAATCAAATCTCTGGCTTTCACCACTCATTTTCTGCATCCCGATCTGGGCATGACCGACTACGAAAAGTTGAGTCGCTCCACGGCGTTTCTGTTGGCGGTGGATCCCCCCGATCCCACGGGCGAAGGTCCTTATGGCCATTTGGAAGTCACTCAACACCAACGGACGGTTCGAGACTTTCAACGACAGCACAATTACACTCCGGCCATGGGAGGCACGGGAACCGCCAAAGACATGGGATGGTTGGAATTCATGCCACGAGAGCATCGACCCAACGTTCATGTCATTACGTCCAGTCACGTCGTGTCGCCTTTTCTATGGCTCGATTATTATCCCTATGATTGGTTGACACAAGTCAAACAGGAACACTGGTACGTATCATCGTATTAATAAGCAGATGAATAATGTATCTATTGTTGACCCGTTTCTAATGGTTATTCATTCATTCATTCAGCAAATACACATTGGAAGTCTTTGATTCCAAAACTTCCAACAAGGAACCACTACGAAGCTACGAATTACACAACACTCCGATTCATCATCCAGAAGGACGGGATGTCGTTTTTGTCCACTTGCAAGACGAAGAAACAGCACTCGACGAAATGAAAAAATTGGGAGTCGACGTACATTATCTACGAAACCCAGACAAACTATTTGAAAAAGGAGAAACAATCTACTTTGATGGATATGTCGTTCACGACCCCCAAAATGCCGCAACAACAAACGACAATACCCCCAACGACTTGACTGTCGAAGATACCCGCGTCTTTGAACCCTACCAAGAAACGGGGACTCTGGCATTCCACACCAACGACCGATTCTTTGCTACCACGCCCCATCCATTACCCGAAGGACTCTGTGGCGCTCCGGCAATAGATGCCGATGGAGAACTCTGTGGCATTGTCGAAGGCATTGTCCCCGTCGATCACGAAAATACAACCATTGCCGGGAGTGCCGCATTTTTGCCATCTTTTGTACTGGCCGCATTTGTCGAATACGTCGAACGGTACATGCTCGAACAAATGATGCCCAAGGACATGTTCCAAAATGTCGTACGAGCCAAAGAAACCAACGCCGTCGGTGGAGGATCCTTCAGTGTGGGAAAGGATGGAATGCCAGCGAGTGAACAAAGTTGGGAAGAAGCCTTTGAAAAACAAGTGGCTTCCATGAAAAAGAAGTATAGCAAGGAAGAGATGGATGCCATTTTGTGGAATGTCAAGGTATGTGGTTGATTGATTGGCTGATTGATTGCTGTTGCATGCTGGCTGCTCGTGAATACGGTACACTCTGACTTTGGTGTCATCTTGATTGGCTCGTTGTTGTTGTTTCTGACAGAGGGAACGAGATGAAGTGATGAAGATTATGAATGAAGAAGGTGGCGATTTGGAGGAAGCAATCGCAAGGGTTCGGGCGGAAACTTTGGCTATGCGACAACATGCGATCGAGGAGTACAAAAAGAAAGGGGGATTGGCAGCGGAAGACAAAGGAGGAAAATCCTAACTATTCGTTGCTGTAGTCATCTAGTGCATAGCTAGCTACTAACACAGAACGTATTTCCCCTCATTGTCGACGTTTGGTGATCTTCCTTTTTTGGTATCTGGCACCGTGTGATACGGTACCAGTACTGGTACCGGTACCACCAAGTGGGTAAAAAGCCATGGCTCCACCGTCCCATGCGTTCTTAAAAGCCTGTGGAGCTGCTAGGTTACTGAGGGACGGGTGGTGGTTTTCCTGGTCCTCGCGAAAGCTGTGGCCGCAATGCAAGAACCACACTGTGTAGTAGACAAAAATGAACATCGTGTGTTTGTGGATCCACAAGCACCTCTGTTGTTCTAGTGGTGTTCATCTACCGGTATACTCGTTACTGAGTACCTAGAGTGCAAAATTAGTTGACCCAACACCTCAGAAAACTACGTGGCTTAAATTTGCACAGCTCAGCTCATGCATGATACTAGAAGCTATACACTATCACCTGCAAAGGAAGAGTTGCGGCAAGGATCCTCTCTTCCGTCTGATACCACCGCACGCAGAGAACCTAAATCCTCGCCAGCCAGGGTACTTGCATACGATTATCCACCGAAACCTCCTGATAGAGGTGGCACCTGATACCGGTACCAGTACCTACATTATATTCGCAAGGAGCTCGGAGGCAAGGGCAACGTGGCCCAATCCCCGCTCCAAATAATAAAAAGTAGATCTGTGCTTGTGGAACAAGCAGCGCTGTTGTTCTTGTGGTGTTGGTACCAATACACTGATAGTCATAGTACAAAATTATCAGTGCCAACACCTCAGGAAACCACGTGGAATCCATTTGCACAGCTCATTGTTACTTCCGTGCGTGTGGAGGCAGAAGCTATTAACCGGCAAAGGAAGAGTTCCAGCAACGATCCTGACGGCTTCGCCTGATACCACCGCATCCAAGGTCCAAGGAAAGCAAAATCCTCACCAGCCTGGGTAGACTACATGTACGATTATCAACCGGAACCTCCTGTTATTAGAGGCGCCGGTATCCGCAAGGAGCTCGGAGGCAACCAACGTCGCCGAATCCCCGCTCCAAATCAAGACGTGACAAGTTAAGTAGTAGTACTATATGGTACAGCTATTGTACCACTGATTCGATTCGATTCGTTGGCTTCTCAAGCAAAGCTTGGCACTTGGCATGGAGGAGGCACAGATGCAGTAGTGTAGGCACCGTTTGGCAACTGACTGGACAAATGTAAAATTTATGCCCCACTAATTCAAGTAAGGTCCAAGATCCGAGACACAGACAGTATAATTTCGGGTGCCAGTCAGCTACTCTGAGCTCTGAGTTTCGGCCGAAGGACAATACCTGCATGCATACCGGTATCGGTACATGTAGCTTGCTGCGAGGTGCGAGGATCCAAAAAATAGTCTAGTTGACGTGTGCGGCACGGCCTACCGGTTACCGGTACGGCCTACGGTATCGGTACCGGTACCAACGATGCGCGTCAAAGATGCTCTTGAGGCTGTCGCAGAGTTGTCGCCTTGTCGCAGCAGCTTTTGCCTCTATCTTCAGAAACTTCTTCAGACTCAAAATCTTAAAAAATAGAAATCGTTTGTACACGTACGTGTACAGTAAAAATTTTTTAGAAGCTGTTTGTGCTGGGATGAGTATGACATACTAGTACGGTGACACCTCCCGGAAGACTGTCTTTAGTGGTAGATGGGGTATAATAGGTTAAAAACTAAACTCTGCTTTTCTATTAGTACGGATTCGGATTGAATTGTCCTTTCTCATGCTCGGAAGCTGATTTCCCACTCTCGGGAGAACATTTTCCTTCCCGCTAAAAGCTCCCGTACATTTCCACATGGGGAGTAATCCAAAATCCAAACTCCTCCATCAAAATAGCTCGACAGCTCGACTCTTGCTTTATCCTTTTAAAACAGGGGATGCTCCTTTTTAAAATTAAAACTATGAGCCAAAATCGCCTGCCAGTCTCTACTAGCAGCCCGTACTCGGACGGTCTCTTTTAAAAAGTAGTCTACTAGAGTAAAGCTCAACCTCAATTTCCTTCAATTGCACGGGAAATCCTCTTCCCAGGGTCAGAAAAAACGAACAAACAGCTTCCGTGCATGCATGGGAAAGGACAATTCAACAATTCAATCCAAATCCGTAGTATTTCCAGTACAAAGTTTGTTTTTCTCACCTACCGGTACCAATACCGGTACCGGTACAGCGTACCTTGAAGTTGTCTTCCGCTACCGGTATGAACAAAGAACAAAGAACCCCGATGTCACAACTAAGTGTTCGGATTTCCTTTTAACACTACAGCTCAGTACTTAAGCTTATGTTAAGTAAGAAGTAAAATCATGCAATGTTGGATTATGTCATAAGCAAGGAACTCGAGGCCTCAAAGGTCTTTTTACTGCCCTCACATGCTTATTACCGCCCCATTTCTGCCATACTGTACACTGTACATACTTTATTACATACTCGAGTACTAAATAATTCGACCATCAAGAATTAAAGGCTGTGCTGGGTTCACAGCCAAGCATGAATGATAGGATTTAAACAGCGGAAGCAGCCGTACTGCCCCAATTTTCCTGTACTTTCAATCTTTCAATCGAGACCACGCACGGGGAAGTTGACGATGAATCAGGAATTAATGGCTACAGTATGCTAGGTTCTCAGCCGCGCTTGTGTTATTGATATTGAGCTATTCAGCTAGCTGTTATTGTTTTAAATCTTATTCCGCCTCTTCCAAGACTTCACGCTGTGTGGCTGACGTGTTTCATTATTTAATTGTGACTGACGTGTTTCTTTTCCCGGTTCGGGAAGTGTGAGCTGCTGGTACATCCGCGCGTGGGAGGCAGAAGATACTACATTTCTCTCTCGCGGCGAGAAACTCCCTCCTTTCTTTGATGTTGAGCACAATCATCTCACAATTCCAAAACTGAGCTTGAAAGAAACCAGATTTCGATAAACCAAAACACTCATTCATCATGTGTCCAGGATCCATTCATTCGGAAATTTCGGATTACAACAATGAAGTCCCAAAAGACGGCGCCCCCAAGAAGGACCTCGGCTCCATGAGGGCCAGCCAGAGGAGGAGTGTTTACTTTTCCAAGGATGATGTGAGTGACTTCGCCTCTTTCTTTCTTTTGCATCAATATCCAATCTCACCTTTTCGTTTGTGCATGCAGCAAAACATGGACATGCCCTCTCTTCCTGTCGCTGGCTTGATCGAGGAACTCAAGAGTCGCCATGGAAAGACCCAGTACGCCATGGAATTCCTTGCTGCTGTGGAGGAAGCCGATAGGAATGGTGATGGCTTGATCTCCATCCCTGAGTTGGTCTTGGTGCTTGAGCAAATGAACACCGTCAAGAAGGAGAACACCAAGCTTCACAAGTACCTTTGTTACGCTACTGTGTTGCTTTTGATTTTCTTGCTCGCTATTTTCGGGCTTCTTTTCGGCGTGATCAAGTTGACCCAGGAAACTTCCACTGGAGACAGCCAGGGCAACACCAATGCACTTGTCAACAAGGACACTGGTGTCATTGTTGATACCCACCCCTCGGATGGAGGTGGCATCTTCCTCCACATGGGATCCTTCACGGAACCGGTCAACATCACTTTCCCTTCGTTCGAAGACAAGTCCTTCCAGTGTGTTGGACAGATCACCGAGGAACAGGTCGCCGACCACTTCCGTCAGTTCACTACTGGAGGTAGTGCTATGACTATCCGATACAAGGATTATTCCAACGTTTTCCAGCCTCTCGTCTTTGCCAACATCCCAGCCTCCACCATTGAAGTCACAGGATATGAAACCAACCCTGAAAATGTTGTCATGGCTGCCTCAGCTACAGATGCCGTCAAGCACTCCATGAAGCTCGATGGGGAGACCAGAAAGAGGAAGTTGTCGGAGGCTAAGTATGGCTTGCAGGGCATCAAGGCCGAATCCCAAGTGGGCGCGACTGGTTCTGTACGTCGTCTTATGACCTGTCCCGCAGAAACTCAGTCGGTGGGAGCTTGTCTTACTGGTGGCATCGAAGTTTGCTCCGGTGGATTCACTGCTTGCGTTGCTTTCTTTGATGCTACCTCCATGGAGTGCGGTGCCTGTCCTCCTGCCACCTCTCCAGAATCCAGCGGTGCCATTACGGCTCGTCAAGGTTCTACTTGTGTCGCCGATGACTACTCCTGTCTTTTCGGACCATCGCGCGGCCGCTTCTTGCAAGAGGAGGACGCTGTGGCCACTGTCGCAGACTACATGACTGGTTTCGCTTCGCAAAACGCTGATATCACCTTCATCAAGGACGAAGAGCTCCAGGAAGGTGTCTACTATGTCTGTCATGCCTCCGAAGCAACTGTGTTCTAAACGAAAGTGCCTTGTTAGCTGAGTCCTTAGACGGAGAGAAGTTGACTCGCAACAGTATATGCGCTGCAGATAGGTGCAAGGAAGCCCAAATGGAGAGAAGTTGACTTGCGAGTATATGTGTTTCATTGATTGAGAAAACAAAACTAGAAACAAAACTAGAGTTGAGTGGTAGGAAAACGTAAATAATATAGCAATGAGCGAACTCTTTGATTCGTCCGTTTTGTGGGACGTAGTCTAGTCGAACTGGACAATACATAGAGCACATTCGACAAACCGAGCATACCTTTTGATAGACTCGCTGCAGCAAATAATGGAGTTTTCCCAACCCAGTCCAGACATTGAAGCACGAATGCTTCAACGATGGGACCCTGAGGAAAGCATTCAAGCGTCGAGCCGTTGTACTCACACACTCGTCGGCGACGCGATCTGTATACCCTCGATACTCTTTACTGTGAGTAGCTGCGAGGTGCCCCTCGAGCCTTCTCTAGCTAGTTTCGTTTCCTGCCTGGTCTGGGGGGCATGCAGGCTCTGATGAAACTCTCGAAGAAGCTGCCTTGATGGAGGCACATAGGAACCGCGGTTGCAATCCCTGCTGGAAAGATCCCAGTAAAATGGTGGTATTGGGCGAGGGCAGTATACCCTTCCAGTAGATACGGGTGTTCTCGAGACAGCAGCAGTGAATGCAGTCCTGAGGCAGAGCTTTGCCGGACAATCCATTGAGGACGTTTTTCCAGGTGGCTGGTCCGAAGTGGCTGCTGGAAGCCGTCTTGGCATGTCGGCACTAGAACTTTTGAAAGCCGAAGAGAGATCCATCAACTCCCAGCCAGAACATCTTCTTTTGGAAAAGGGCACGGTTGGACCTCGGTGTCCCTCTCCGCATGGATGTATACATTTATTTGTGGCCTTACTGGATTCCTGACGGGTGCACTCTTGCGCAAACTGTGCCAACCAAGCGTTTCAATTAACGCCGCGATTACACAAAAAGAAGTATTTTAAAAGTAGCCAGCTACGGTAACAACTCGCAGTGCAAGGAGCGGGGAGGTTCGAGGCGAACCTCTGAGGCATGAGAAAACACCACTACCGGTACTGTACGATGTGTACAGTACCAGTACTGCGGTACAATGAGTACTACCGGTACTAGTTCTGCTGTCGTGCTAGTAGTCATACGTTTTATACTGTGGAAGCACCGGAAGACGCTACCCAAGAGCCTACCAACAACTGGTACGGTACCGGTAGATATCTTTTGATCATGACAACTTCTGTCGTTTTTGGCTCCTCTCTTGACACTCTTGGAACTCCTCCCGGGACCATTCGTCTTGTAGCAGTGACCGAGTGGTATTCGTTTTGTCGTTTTGTTGGCTATCATTCGTGGTGGTAGGAGGAGGAGGAGTATAGATGATGGGTAGCTGCTGTTGGAACCCCCGCTGGAAGAATAATTCCTGTGGCGTCGGTGTGCTGGCCATTAAAATCAGTTCTTGTTCCTCTGCTTCCAGTGCTTTTCGATCTAGCGACACGAGAAGGTTTCCTTCGTCATCATCATCATCACTGTCATCGTCATCATTGTTGTTATTGCCAACGCTGTAGGTATAGAGTCCAGCATGTTTTCCCTTCATGGGGACCACACAAAGCTGTTTGGCTTCAACGTCTTCACTACTATTATTGGAGGACGTGTATTGTCGTAGTATTTCATGTTTTGATTCTGGCAATTTCTCCGATTGCTCTTCCAGAACCCTTAACAGCAGCCTACTTCTGTGGATTGTTTGCTTGAGAATGTGTTGTTTTTGACTGTGAGGGTGATTCTTGTTGTTGGTATCATTGTGACTTGGTGGTGGTGGAAGTGGTGGCCCTATAAAGGGTATTTCGTGTTTGGTGGTTTCAGTTCCATTATTAGTGGTAGTACTGGTAGTACATGTAGATTCCGACGACAGAATGGTGATGGGATGTTCCAGAATCCCCATTAAAAGTTGACAGCACAATTGCAGGGCTTTCAAACAGTCGGCTACATGTACTTGTTGTCGTCGTCTTGTGTCATACTCATGATCTTGCTGTACTGACAACAACGACGACAACAACAACAATGAGTCCTGTTCTTTCCATAGAATCTCCCAAAGGACATTATAAGTTTTGGTCAACGAGGAGTAGCGCGTGGGAGATTGGAATGATGGTAGGATTTGGGTCTTCCACAAATCCTGCTCTTTCTTCGCGGTGGTCAACGCTTTCTCATTGGTTGTCTTTTGAGTTGTCATCTCTCCAAGCGAGCATTATTAGACTAGCTAGTCTATTGTGTGCCAGCCAACCAATCCGAGAGCGTGTGGTCGGAGCCTACTAGTAGCTTGATTGATGTCCGATGGCTCGACGAAAGAAGAAAGAGGGAAGAGCAACGTGGTTCCGGAAGGTGGTGTCAAAGGTATGTACCGTTAGTTCGGAGCAAGTGTGCGCAAAAGCAAGTCAGAATTTGCTTGCGTTTGTTTTGTTCTTTCAAAAACGGGGACGCTCACAACCCGCGACAATGATTGGGTAACACGGAGTAGAAAGGAAAGAAGTAGAAGTCAACAACAACAACAATCAAATCCATCATCATGAGCTCTAGTAGCCTGTGCACGATATGCTTGGACCCGTTGATCCGTTACGAATGTCCCATGGTGGCGACGGTTCCTTGTGGACATGCGTATCACGAAGCCTGTCTCAAGAAATGGTCTCTGGAACGCCTCAACAAGGACGACCCCGAAATTCTGTGTCCGCTCTGCAATACCGATGTTCAAAATGTCATTCAAATCTATCTCTCCACTACCAGCACTACTACTGGAAGTATGACAGACACTTCATTGAGTGGCAAAGAACTGGAAGCATGGAAGAAGGAATACGACACGGAAGCCAAGGGAGAACGATTACAGCTTCATGCCAAAGTCTTGGAGTCCAACAAGAAGACCATTGACGAAATATTCGAAAAACAAAAGATTATGGAAACGTACGAGAATGATCGCAAGGCACTCGATGGCGCCAAGACGGAGAATGCTCAATTGCGACAGGAACTATTCCAACAAATCATGAAACACGAAGCCGAAATGAGACGCTTGTCACAAAACAAACAAATCATTACGCAAGTTCTAGAACGCAATGAAAAGGCATTGACTGATCTAAAGGTGACGAGAGAAGAAAATCTCGATCTCAAACGAGAATTACTCAAACACATTATGGGCAAACAACAGGATATGAAGCGATTGGCAGCATCCAAACAGGCGTTGTCGTCAGCACTGGAAGCGCATGAAGAAACGTTGGGAGAACTCAAAGCGAGTCGAGAAGAAAGTTTGAGTCTGAAAAAGGAACTCGTCGAACATTTGCATCATCACAAGAATAAAATGGAACAATTGCAAACGCATAAAGAATCACTCCATGAAATTGTACTGGCGCACGGACACAATGTCCAACAGTTGGACGTCATTCGAAAGGAAAATGGGCAACTCAAGGAAGAATTGCTACGGTCCATGATGGCTCGCAAACAGGAAGCCACGAAATTGGCCAAGTGCGAAGGATGGATTGAAGTCTTGAAAGAAGAAGTCGAATCGTTTGATGAAGATAAAGAGACGCTGCAGAGGATTCGCACGGAGAATTACCGATTGGGAACCATTATTCAGGAACGTCACAAGAGCTGGCTGCAAGCACGGAGAGAATTGAACCAGACGGTTCACCAAAGTGCAAATAACAAAATGAGTCTGCTTCTTATGATTGGACAGGTGAGTGTACTGGGGCTAGCCATTCACACATTGTCGCCGAGAAGGTGATAATACATGACATTGTGAATAAGGCACAAAAAAGGGCCCCGGACAGGACGAAACAAGAGGATTCACGCGGAATTCTGCTTTCGTCAGTCTTATTAGTACACAAGCTTGGTTAAGTATTAGTAATGAATGAATGATAGATCTTTATAGCTGCATCGATCGGCACCGGCATGGCAAAGAGTGGTACGTCGCACCATTCTATCCTCAGTACCGGTACCAGTGGTAGTTGTCGTTTGATGTTCAAATGTTTCCAGAATCCGTTCCTCTGCCTTTCGCTATTCTCACTCTACCAGTCAAGAGGATAGACTTCGTCTCTGCATTCACAATGGTTGTAGTTGTCACCGTACCGGTAGCACGAATACTACAATTGACTTCTAATAATTCATCCGTAAACACGAAAGCTAGCTAGCTTAGCTCTATAGACAAGTACCGGTACTATTGCAACAACATCACATCCAATCAAATCAAATCAAACATGATTGAAAGCCAGTTTGCAAATCATGTCGCTGCAAGTGACGACCGATAACCACCAGCTTGCATTCTCGGTCCTCCTCTGCAGAGAAGTCTTCTGTGGAAGCATGAATGTCCCAAATATCATAGACAGCCTGTACAATATACCTTCGCTTGTCGATTCCTGTTTTGCCATCACAGAACGACTGAAACTCCTGTTCCTCCATCTTGTCTTTTTGACATCGTACCGAGACGACACCTTTGATTCGAAAGATTTGCTGCTGTTGATTATCATTATTGTTGTTGCCATTGCTTTGTTTCTGCGTGGCATCAGGAGTAGCTGTGGATTGTTGCTGTTCTTCTTGCAGTTGTTGTTCTAGTCTTGCTCGCAGCACTTCATCCTTTTCGTCTTGATTGGGCCACAGCACGGAAGCCATCCAGGCATTCAATCGTTCCAAACTCATGGTTCCCTGTTCCTTGAATGCCAGCGTGGAGACGGCGCTGGTATGCGAATGTTGTTCCTCCAATTGTTTTTGGCAAGTGGCACAGTCGTCCACAGTGTGATCTCCATGGTCATGAGAATGAGAATGTTCTCCTTCCGCCATTTCCGAGACGAGTTTCTCAATTTGCTGATGGAGTTTTCCATCGCTATTGTTGTCTGGTTGCTGCTGTTTGTTGTTGTGTTCGTCATAACAATTGGCATCGAGAATCCATTCCAGATCGGGTACTTGAGAAAATGTCGTATTGCGAATGGGAGCCGTGGGATTGATTCGTTGGAGCGTCGCATGAAGCTGGTCCACACTTGTTGTTTGTTGTTGTTGGATCAAGTCAATTTTGTTGAGGAGTATTCGATCGGCATATGCGACTTGTTGCGATGCTTCTTCTGTTTCTTGCAATTGTTTGGTAATGTGGTAGGCATCTACCAATGTGACAACTCCGTCCAAACGCAGCCGTGAGTCTAGTTCTTCATCCAACCAAAAGACAGAAGCAATGGGGCCTAAGGAAGAGGAGGAAAAAGTCACATTTGAGTACTTCAAAAGAGAGAGATGTGTTGACCATACGTGTGGTACTGGTACATACCTGGATTGGCCATGCCACTGGCTTCAATAATGATATAATCGAGGTCTTGTCGTTTTTCGAGTAGATTTTCAAGAGTTTCGACGAGTGAATCCTTGACCGTACAACAGACACATCCATTGGGAAGTTCAATGAAATCTGCGAGACTGGAATTGTCAACTCCATCCTTGGCAATCAATGTTTCAATGGCCAATCCTTCGCCAAATTCATTTTCAATGACGGCAATCCGTTTTTTATGGACCGGCGACTTTAGAATGTACTGAATCAACGTTGTCTTGCCACTGCCCAGGAAACCCGATAAAATCGTTACGGGACAAGGAGGCAACACAGCAGGCTGGTCTTGCAGCAGAAGAGGTTGTGCTTCTACAGTTGGGTCGACTTTCTGATCATCATCCTCATCCACGGCGACCAAAAGTGGAGCTTCGTCATCGTCAAGGGCCACCAAGAGAGGGGCTTCATCGTCGTCGTCAGAATCACTTGGGTTTTCCATGATAGATAGCTAGCTAGTTAGTTCAGTTTCTGTTTTCTTCTGTTTCTTGTGATTGATTGATTATTCTTTGTAGTGCCAGTTGCTGGACTCTCTTGGACTCACTCACTCCTCGACGATGCTTTGGTTGAAATGAGGCTTCTTCTGATTGCTTTTCTCCGAAGCGTCGAAAATAATGAGCCTCCTGGATCCAATCATTCGATCTGCTGGCTTTTTGATTTACACCCACTCACTCCCTATATCTTTCTAGCCGTTGCTTTCTTGCGAACGCTCTTCCCGAAGTTGCTGCAAGTTCACAAACGGAGTGGTTCAGCCAAGCCATGCAATTACGCGGCAGTCATCATGTGTTTGGCTTGCCTTGTTGGGTGGATCTCCAGTACATGTCCATTGCAAGGATCTTTTGCATCATCCCGTCATTCGATCCTTGTGTTGACAGACGGTATTAGTCATTCCTTTTACCATGGCCACCACCAACAACAACAAAGACGATGACGCCGCCGCCATTCGGGTCTCTCTGATTGCCGAGGTACCCTCCTCTTCTGCTTCCAAGGGCACTGTGTCATCACCATCGACCGGAAGACCGCCAATCCACCCCCAAGAAGACGAACTACCGACCAGTGTTACCACATTGGAGCAACTGAACGATCTACCCAAGGAATGTTTGAGTGGCGACAAGGATCGGCCACTAAGACATGTCGACGAAGATGGCCAAGTCTCGCACTATGCCCTCCAACCAATGACTTATGCCGTCATGTTCATTCTCGTCGTGGAACTACTGGAACGCTTCTGTTTCTATGGAGTCAACTACACCCAGACGGCCTACTTGACTGGATCCTACAATGAAGATTGGAATGCCGACATGACGGCCGTAGAAGCATCCAGTTATGTCGCCGTGTCGGTCGGCGTGGCATACACTACACCCTTTCTAGGAGCATTCCTGGCCGATTCCGTGCTAGGAGACTTTTACGGACTCTTGGTCGGATCCCTCTGCTTTTATCTGCCGGGCCTTATTCTGATTGCCCTCACTACCATTCCGGGACTGCTGGGAACGGAATTCAACTCGGCCGCGCTCAAGGTGGGATTCATTGGTTTGTGGCCCGTCGGAACGGGGATTGTCAAGGCCATTGTCAATGTCTTTGGAGCCAAACAGTTTCATCCTCTCCTGCAATCCTCTCTTATTGAATCATACTATGTATCCTTCTACATGTGCATCAACATTGGAGCTTTGGTCGGAGGAGTCTTGGTACCCGTATTGGCACAAATCAATGTCACTCAGGCATACTTTTTGCCCGTTGCCATGCTGGGATTTGCCGTCATTTGCTTTCTCAGTGGATCCAGCAAGTATGTACGATCCAAACCAAAGGGGGACCTCTGCAGTGGCAAGAAGAAAAAAGCCAAAAAACTACTCCCGTCGTTGGACAACTCCAACAATAAAAAGCTCAGCTTGTGGACCGTCTTTTCCATTTCCATGCTCATTGTCCCCTTCAACATTGCCTATGCACAAATGTCCACCACATTCATTGTACAAGGAACCGTCATGCAACAAGTGGGATTCATCGATGCAAGTTGTATGAACAATGCCGATGCCATTAGTGTCTTGTTCTTTGGTTATGTCATTGGACAAATGCTATATCCGGCACTCGCCAAGAGGGGAATCAAGCTAGCGACAACTCACAAGTTTGCCATTGGATCCATGTTTGGAGTGATGGCCATTGGTTGGGCTCTATTGGTCGACTATATCATTCACTATTACTTCCAAACAACGGGTGAAAAGGTCACGGTCATGTGGCAGGCTCCTTCCTACATCTTGATTGGAATTGGAGAGATCTTTGCAGTGTCCAGTGCCTACGAAGTGGCTTTCTCGGCATCCCCGCCGGAACAGAAAGCTTTGGCCAGTGCGACCAACTTGTTTTGTGTCGGAGGTTTGCCCAATTTCTTTTGTATCGTTTTGTACCGTGCCTGCAAGACGTGGTTCCTCAATTCACATGGTATAGCGTCCTTGCATCGATTGGAAGATTATGCCGATGCTCATGTTTGGAAGTACTTTTTGGTATTGTTTGGAATTGCCATCTTTGGAGTCATCCTCAACTTGTCGGGCTTTGTCCAGAGCTTTGTCGAGTCTGTCGAAGAAACGGCAGCCGAAATGGTCAAGACGCCCTTATTGACAAAGCCGAAACGGCACCAACGCATGGACTCGTGGGACTTTTCCGATGCCAAAAAGGAAGAAATGTCACCGCTACTACGTGCCAAGCGACACCAAGCTTACCTCAAGTACGGAAGTGGTCCAGTCCTCAACCGAAATGGTTCCATGCGTGCGGGACCTGCGTTGGCACAGCAAGGCAAAAAGGCCAAGAAAGTCAAACGAAAGGATATTGCCAGGCTTTACAACAGTGAAACGGCGTTGCCTCCCGTGAAAGTTGTCATGAGTCCATCGGGACGACCCTTGCAAGCCGGCAATCTACATCAAATCGACGAAGCGGCGACAATGACTCGGTCGCTTTCGAATCCAGACATGGCATAGGAATTTGCGCACGCACCAATCGAATCGAATCAAGAAAGGTCACCAAGACCAACTAGCTAGATATTGCAAAACCCCGATGCACTTTTAGAGTACAAATACATTCTTTTCAGCACCACATGAGTGGCTACCGTTGCACTTCGAGGGAGCGAAATTGCAATCGAAACCGACGGCGAACCCCTCTGTCGTCCTTTGAATTGCGCCTGCAAGAACGCGGAGGACGGAATGAATCATGATACCCAATAGCGCATGTAGGAAGCCTGAACAATCGGTAACCGAAAGGTAGCTTCAGGCAATCTATCCAGCATCACGACAGCTACGAATGTACTACATGCCTAGCTAGTAGTAGACTTGCTCCTGGTGTAGCCAACTGCTGTCGATGGGCGCGTTGCTCCTTTTTGAACTATAAACTTGTCTTTATCTAAACATATCTCTTGCTTCGTCGTTCTAGTCATGGTGTTGTATATATGAGAGTAATATTCCTCCTTGCTCCAGCGCGCTTTCTACTCGTATGCCCTGTCCGAAACAAAAGTTGACTCCAAAAGGTTGCCAGTGCTGGGTGACTTCATCATGGAGTACACATCTTCGTATTCAAACAGCGCATTGTCCCTCTCTAGCTTGCGGATAAAGTTGACGTCTTTTTCAAGGATGTCCGTGTCGTGGTGCATGAGAATGACACTTCCAATGCCAGTGAACAGGTCGATTGTGTAATCTACCTCCGAACCAGGTCTGACGCCAGTTTCGAGATAGACATAAGATTGCAACTTCTTGATCTTCTCGAAACCTGGCGTGGACTTGACAACACCCCGAGAAAAAGACACAAGAATAACTTCTTGTCCGGCAGCCTTGAATGGTGCTGGCGGCTTGTCCGCGTACAACGAGAATTGCCTCTTGTCAAGGTAGGCATCGGCAGTCGCCTCGACTTGCGAGTAGCCTCCGTTAAGAGCAACACACAAGGGTCGCCAGTTGCCATCCCCACCATGGGCGCGGCAATTCATTTCGACAAGGCAAGGCCCGTCCTTGGTCATCATCACCTCACCATGCGAAGGACCATTCTGAAGAAGCATGAGTCAACGAACGGTTAGTTAGAGCGAGAACGCGCCACAGAATCCTCCGTGCCGAGGGTACCAGCTCACCTTGATACCAAGCGCATCAAGCACCTTGCGCACATAGGGGATCAAGATCCTAGCTTCTGGAGAATCCGAAGCAACTGGAACGCATCCAAAGTACACGAACTGAAGGAATGAAACAGAAAGCAGACCATGAGGTCCAGGATATCTCGCGACATCACACGAGTAAGCAAAGAATCCAAGCAACACTTACAGCTGAACCATTGACTGGGCGTTTGTCGTAAACCCAAACCATCACAGTCTTGTGGACGCCATCACGTGACACATGATCCACAACATACTCCTTTCCTCTGAGGAATTCTTGGCAGAGCACAGCAGGGCAATCTCCACCATTGACCATTTGGCTCTCCATCAACACATTGAAATGCTCCTTTGCCTCCTCAAAAGTATGACACAGCTTGACACCATCTGACCCAGCAGATTCAACTGGCTTGAGAACAAGAGGATAGGGCTCTGTCTTGAGAAAGGACTCAACCTCTTCGAACTTGGCCCCACCAGCCTGGCGAACAGCACGCATGCCTCTTGCACCAATAAGCTCTTGCTGCAATTTCTTATCACGCTTGTTGGGGATGGCTGTGCCGTTTGTACGGAGATTCATGCGTTCAGAAAGAGCGTCAGCGAAATCCACCCCAGCCTCCCCACCCGCAATGCAAGCAACGACACGGTACTGGTTGGCAGCCTTGTAGACGACCGTAACTGTATCAGCAAGTGTTTCCGCTTCGTCGATCTCGGCCAAATAATCTAATTTTCCGACGCTCAAGGGGACATGGGTTTTCATTTCTTCGGCAAAGCCCTTGGTCCACAATGCCATAACTTTGTAGCCACGCTTGATGATTTCCTGTGCCACACAGCACGCTGTCGAGTAGGGATCCACAACGACAACCACCTCCTTAGAGGCATCGACCGTAGTCATTCTCTTGACCAAGGGACCACGCAGCTCGGGCCTGTCGTTGGACATGTGACGAATAAGCATGGGGCCATCGGCAGAAAAAACACGACGATGGGGCCTGGGTGGCTTTTTGCCAGCCATCTTGGGCGAGATAGGTGGCAGAAGTTCCTTTTCGTAGGTATCGAGCAAGACTGTCTCTCCTCTGGGTCGCTTAAGATTCTCAAGTTTGGTTTCGTATGAGAAAATTCCATTGATCTTTTCCATGTATCGAATAAAGTCGGTATCTCGCTTGATCACTTCCTCGTCCGGGTGCATCAACATGACACTTCCAATTCCCGTGTTGAGATCAATGGTGTAATCAACTTCAGTTCCAGGCTTCACTCCCGTCTCCAGCGACAAAAAGGATGGCAATGCCTTCATGACTTCGTATCCAGGCAATGCCTTCACTTTCCCCCTGGAAAACGAAACCAAGATGACCTCGAGACCACTGGCCTTGAAAGGACTACACGGCTTATCGGGCAAGCGAGCAAATTTTTCTGGATCCAACGTACAATCCGCTGTAGCTTCCACCTGGGAGTATCCACCAGTCAGTGCTTTGCAGAGAGGGCGCCAGTTTCCATCTCCTCCGTGGGCACGGCAGTTCATTTCGACCAAACAAGGTCCATCTTTTGTGATCATGACTTCTCCGTGGGAAGGCCCATTTTTGACACCCATGCAATCTCTGTTACAAAACAAGTAGAAGATATATCTGGTCAGCGAACTCTTGCACCATGTAGCACAAGCTTGCCAAAAATGTAAACTTACAAAACTTTTCGCACGTAAGGGATGATGAGTTTGGCTTCGGGAGATTCCGAGTCCACTGGAACACATCCAAAGTAGACAAATGCATTTCCATTGGCCGGGCGTTTGTCATAGACCCAAACCATGACAGTTTTGTGGACTCCATCCAAGGAAACTTGGTCCACCACATATTCTGTGCCTCTCAAAAATTCTTGGCACAAAACTGCAGGACAGGCCCCTCCATTGACCATTTGACTTTTCATGAGAAGCTCAAAATGTTCCTTGGCTTCTTCAAAGGTGTAGCACAACTTGACTCCATCCGATCCGGCAGATTCGATAGGTTTCAAGACCACAGGGTAGGATTCCGTCCTCAAAAATTCTTCCACATCTTCAAATTTGTCACCACCGGCTTGTCGGACGGAGCGAAGTCCGGCGGCTTTGATGAGTTCCTGCTGAACTTTTTTGTCGCGACGATTGGGGATTTCGGTTCCATTGGTCCGAAGGCCCAAGTGCTCGGAGAGCTTATCCGCCAAATCCACTCCTGCTTCGCCTCCGGCAATGCAGGCCACCAAGTTGATGTCTCGAGCCGTTTCTCGTACCAATGCCCCGGTTGCAGCCAATGTCTTGGCTTCATCCAGTTGGGCAAACCAATGCAATGTCCCACAGGATTGTGGGACGTGACTCTTCATGGCTTCCGCGAATCCATCCGACCAGAGAGCGACAATCTGATATCCTCGCTTGGAGATTTCTTGGGCAACCAAACATCCTGTCGAGTAGGGATCGACAATGACTACCAAGCCTTCCATGGCTTCTTCAGCGATCAGGTGTGGTGGAGGAACTTGTTGGGGAGGCATTTTCTTTTTATTGGTGCTATTTTTCGGAGGTCTGGTTGTTGAGAATTGTTTTCAGCAATCTATGAGAAAGGAGGGTGCTCCCGTAGGCAATATTTTTCTAATCGCCTTCCGAAACGCTGACGACGAAAATGGAATCTGAGCGGATCTCACTGGCTAGCTAGAAGCTTGGTGGTACCTCCTACTCCTCGTACTTGATAGATAAACCAGCACTCTTGATGGGAATGCGACATGTAACTTTCGATGAAACACCTACACCTTTTGTTGCACTTGTGGTTTAGTGTGCCGTCAGCATTTGTGGGGATCTGTGATGGGACCGGAAGATCCAGATTGGATTTACAAGAGGCGTGCAAGTACACAACTTTACCGGAAGCATCATTCGTGCATGTGACGAGAGCTGTGGAGCAATGTGAACCAATAAACTCGCAAGGATAGCCACTCCGACTGATGCGCACTGTTTTGGCCCGAACAGGTCAGTAGATCTATGATACTAGCTAATACGCAAAAGATTGAGAATGCAATTGGAACGAGAAAGATACCCCCGATCCTCGCTTTTCTAAAACTACATGTACCAGTAACTAGCGAATTGGATGGATGTGGAGGTAGCACAAAAGCCAAAAGAACCAAGAAGATAACCGGGCCAAAACACTCCCAAGACTTGCAAGTTGACTCCGACGAGAATACAAAAACAAACCATTGGCAGTCATCAAAGAACCTCAGCTCTACAGGACCACCAACCACAAATATTTTTTGTTTTTGTTTATCTGAACATCTGAACCAACACAGAGAAAATCATCATGGGAGGATCAAGTGCCGTCAAGCGATGTGGACTCACAGAGCAAATCATCTTTGTGATTGCTATTGCTTCTGGAACCGCCTGTTCCATCTGTTCCAAAGTCATGATGCAGATGCACGGGGAGGGGATCGGAGGTGATACGGAAATTTTTGGCAAGGTGAGGCCATCAGATAATAAAATGGAAAAGTGGACTTTCAAAAGGACGGTGCAATGCTAACAAAAATGCTGTTCTTCGTATTAATTTTTTGTATAGCCAATCTTTCAAACATTTGGCATGTTTGTGGGAATGCTTTTCGGTATGGTGATGCACTATGTTGTCATTCTTTTCAAGATCCCCTTTCCAGGCTATGTACACGGAGATAATAATGATAAGACATCCATTGCTGCCAATGGTGCTACCTATGGAGCGATTTCTTCGGCAGAAGAAGGCGATGCTCTGTTGAAAAACAAAGATGCAGAAAAGGCAACAAAACAACTCTCGAAAGATGTTCCTGGATGGATGTACTTCTTTTTGGCCATTCCATCCCTTTTCGATCTGATAGCCACTGCCCTGTGCATGATGGGTCTCGTCTATCTGGATGTCAGTGTGTACATTTTGTTGCGAGGATCTGGAATTATCTTTATTGCCCTGATGAAACAATATGCCTTGGGTGATCGGTTGTACACGTTCCAATGGGTAGGTGTTTGTTGGAACGTATTCAGCGTCATTTTGGTGGGTATGACAGCAGTGCTCAACTCTCAAGATGAATCTCGAAGTGTGACGCCTGCCCAATCCATATTGGGAGTGGTCTTGGTAATGGCGGGAGCCTTTGTCCAAGCCTTGCAATTTGTTTTTGAGGAAAAGGTCATGCACATGGAGGATACTCCAGCTCCACCACTGCTTTTGGTGGGAATGGAAGGCGTCTGGGGTACGGTTCTATGTCTCCTGGTGGTGTATCCCATTGCCTACATGCTGCCTGGCGATGACCATGGTTCCTACGAAGATCCCTTCAATACTTGGTACATGTTCCTCCACAATACACCCATCCAATGGTCCTTCGTAGTTTACTTTGTGACCATCTTCAGCTACAATCTATTTGCCATTTTGGTCACCTACATGCTCAACAGTGTGTGGCATGGCATTTTGGATAACTTCCGTCCCGTTACAGTGTGGGTGACTGATTTGTTGATCTTTTACGTCTTTGTCAAGGGCAATGGTGATTTTGGAGAGCCTTGGACGCAGTATTCTTGGATCCAGGTCGGGGGTATGTTTATTCTGCTCTATGGAACGGCTGTCTACAATGCTCCCAACCCTGGCTGCGTCAAGATGGATGGTTCTTGGTATGCCTTTGGAATCAATTTGCAGAAGGAATACGACGCACTAGAGGAAGAAATGAAGCAGGCAGAAGCGGATGACGAGTGGGCTCAACGAGCAAAAGAATTCAAGGAGCGACGAGAATCGTCCTTCATTATATAATTTATATGCATCAGCACCTCGAAATGGGGCTGCTGAGGCGACTACAGTAAAAAACTAGGCCCAATTCACACTGTATTATTTTATTCGCAGTCCCACGTTGGGCCGGGCTCTTGCGCTGTGATGGTCCAGGACGATCACAGACAGTCTCCTCCTACATGTACTACTTCGTTGACGCAGGCAATGCAGGGCGCCAGACTCACAACCCTCCTTCTCCTGTTGATTTCTGTAATAGACCTATCATATAGTTACTATTCAAAGGACAGAGAACCGCACCTCTGGGTAAAACTGTGAGAATCTTCAATCTCTCATTAATTCAGGCTGCCTTTGCATGAGCCCTCCTGAGCTTGAATTCGATTGGCAGACAGATAGCATTATCTAGCTGCAGCTAATAGCTAGCCTGCCTTGGCTATATGTCATAGTTATAGTTCTAGCTATCCAACCATGTGTTCCTATTTTGGCTATTGCTAGCTACTCGACACCTGTACCATACCGTATGCATACGGTATGGTATGCATACGGTATGGTACAGGTACTAGCTAGAGTACAAGTGTACCCGTACTTGGTCGGATCAAATCATACCGGTACATGTAGCTCTAACTCTATTTAGATTTGTCTCAACAAATAATGTGAGGGCCTCGAGCTCGACGAAGGCTTTCCCTCCTTTTGTCCCTAAGCGAAAAATTTAGTTACACAAACGGACCAAAAAAAGCCAAGCCGACCTGAACAAGACTTCCATGTGGGAGGCCTCACAATGGCGGCGGGTTGTCGATCACCACCTTGTCTTGAGCTTCTGGCGCTGAAAGAACGAAGCTCCAATATAACCACTACCAGGTACTAGTCTAGCAACCAGAGAATCGAATCGTCGAGGGGAGCAGACCTTGCCTGTTGTTGGTTGCTCTTTAGAGAGAGTAAGTGCGGCGGCGTTGAGATTGGCTACGTGCTAGTGTTGGAAGAGGGTAGCCGGAACGCCGGAACTATCCAATCCCTTGAAGATTGATTGTGTTGTTGGGCAGTTGAGAACATCCGTCATGCCTTGAATCCCAGGACGAACCAAAGGATCATTTGAGGACTGCAGGAGACTCCCATTGATCTAGAAGGTGAACTGGAGCTGCCGTCAATCGGTTTGACGACTGGGCCTCTTTGGACGAGGTCTACTCTCAGATTATTGGCCGGCTGACAGAAGGCGAGTGGAGAATGGAAGCACCGGGAAGGTACGTTGCTAGCTAGCTGAAAGATGACAGACCCTTGATGGATTGTCCAATGAAACTAACATAGCAGCCTCGTTTGCTTCGCAATACAGAGTGTTTCGACTCCAGGAGGAAGGGAATCGATCCCCTGTCATCGGCAGCTCTGATCAAAGTACTACTGCTGGTACCAACGATGGAAGACAGCCTCTCAAATCCTTACAAACCCCAACAACCATGTCCTCCTCCACAGCCCTCGGGTCGATGGAGGGTGGACGAACGAAGCAATCTCCAGCCGGAGCTACGCACTGGTACCATCACTGGGCCAACTCACTACCGCAATTTCACGACGACGTCAAACCAACGGATTTGAATCCAGGGTCCACAGTAGCCTCATTTGAACTCGAGGATACTACAGCTAGCTCAGGTGGAACGTCCTGGACTCTTCGGGTACCGTGGTTACGCAACAAACGACACAAAAACAAACAGCTGCGCATGGACGATGAGAATAGCTCCATTCAAACCATCCCATCCAGCTCAATACGCAACAAGCCTGGTGCATATGGCACTACTGAAGACAATAACAACAGCCCCTACTATGGTGGATTGATGAAGGCTGCCAGTCCAACTTTTGTGAGTGTCGACTCTGGAAACATTGAAGCACTGGAAAGTGTGGAAGGAGACGGACTCTATCGGACGACACCACCGTCTAGTACTACCCAGCCATCCAGAGTCCTCCACGAACAACGGCAACCACAGAGACAACAGCAACCAAAGCAACCATTCAAGCAAAAACGAAAACAGCCAAATAAGAGAAACATGCAACAACGGCAACCCTTTGCCAGCAATATGGACCAAAACCTATTACTTCCTCAGCAAAACACAACATCTCCTCCCCCAGCAGCACCCGTCACTGCTCCTACAGGCACTACTACAGGCACATCAGAAAACAGACAATACGTCCTACTACAACAAAAGCCAGAACCCAAGAACCACAACAAGGTATTCCGAAACAGATCCTGGATCAGCACGTCGTCACGAGAATCCAACAGTAGAGGTCGACCGGACGAAGACTCCTTGGCTGATTTTGATGAAGGTGAATGGACACCGCAAGATTCTTCCTACGGCGCCGCTATTCCTGTCTGTGGGTGGGTCCCCAAGAGACTCAGACAATTCATTGAAGCCACTCTTATTTCCTTTGCAGTGTTTGTCCTTGTATACATTGTCGTCACAACATCCATTAGCATCTCCGAAGCCAAGGATGCTGGCAGAGAGGTTTACAATGACACGTCGTCCGGTTCCAAGGTGTATGACAATGGATTGGAATTCGACGATGACTGGTATGTTGAATACTCACAGTATCCCAATGAAGACGACGATTACTTCTATGACGGAGACAACAACGGCAATGGTGGAGGTTGACATGCCCTCGTGTAGATGGTTCCTACCCCGCGTACCATCTTCATTAACACTGGCCTTCGTTTGAAGTTCTCGTCCCTTGCCAAAAATCGCGACGAGCCAAAGTCGGTATCAAACAAACAGGTTGCACCGCCGGCCAGTCTGAATACCTGCGCCTCAATTTATCAAAGCCTAGAGGCAGCAACCACAAAGCCGAGCCAACGTGATTCGAGTCCAGCCATCATTCTACCAACTCTGTGTATACTGTATTGCGAGAGCACCAGGTGGCTTGACTCGGAGTCTATTCCAGTTCCGACGAAGAACGCAAGCACTCTCCTCTCAATCCTTTACTAAGCGCTTCTTGACGGAATGGCCTGTACACATATCTGTTGGTAAAGCGATGTTGGCTCGAGGACCAAGGGTACACATAATGATTACAAGGATACGATCCGAAAGTATGTATTCTATAGCGATATCTCTTCCCTTTAAAGCCCGTACCAAATATTGCCTACTACTGTGTGTCTGGGAGCATCACTTAGGTGAAAGTAGACAACTGCAGAGTTGTTCGATGTAGCACGCCGTTACTCATTCTCGGGGTTGCCAAAGGCGATGGCGCAGCTCACGCCCCATCATGTATCGGTACTGGTACCTACGACTCTCTGCATTAGGCGCCAGTGGCGCCTGCGAATCCACAGTGGCAGGGAATATGCGCATCACAAAGTCAAACCTTGTTCTTGTGACCTAATGGAATGGAATCGAATCATTGGATCATGCAGCGGGGCTCCGCAAAGGATATTTCGGCAGCTTGTCACAGACAAGGTTGTCGCGTTGCCCACAAGTTAGAGACTTACACCTCATCGTAGTAACGACCAAATACCACCAGCAATCAATGTAGAGCCCACGCCGAACAGCACCGCCAATCGTCTTGACGTATTCCAGTGATTTTGCATGATAATAGTGTACTTCTTGGGTGGATCATCTTGAATCTCTATAATAGCGGGCGCCGAGATAAGGGCTGGCACCAGGTGATGGAGTGCCATTCGACTCAAAAAGTCGGCAAAGAACCAAGCTTTGTGGAGAGAGAAAGGAAAGCTGTACTGATATGGCATGCCAATGGGTACGATCTGGCACACCGCTTGCGCCTCGGCCACCAGTTCCTGGCTAAGCGCATCCACCATGGACCGTTTCTGCGCTTCGTCTTTGGCATCTCGCAAATCTCTCATCAAGTCCAGCACCCGTTCGACGTCCACCATACCACTGTTCAGACCTTGACCCAGATCAGGAGGAAAGCAATGCATGGCATCTCCAACCAGAAACGAAACGACGCCGTCAGCTGCAATGCCAGCTCTCCCCGCATATCTTGGCCGAGGAAAGGTAGACCCATCAGACTCCACCCATGCTTGAGCTGCTTCTGGACTGAGCCTGTTGCGGATATCCAGCTGGGGAAATTCCGCTTCCAACTCTTCGTAGAGGGCTTCTGGTGACTTGAGTTGAAAGAAAGAAAAGTCGCTCTGACGAACCGTGCTCACTGGCCTTGGCTTGCCCGGTTCACCTCCGAAGGGCAACATGCCCAACTTGGATCCAGTTTTGCCGAAAATTATGTACGTTTCATTAGGATCCATAGAGTCCGGCGGCGTATAGAGCGTAGCTCGAAAGACCAGGCCTTCTGAAAGGCAAGGAACTTTGGTGATTTCAAAACTTGGGTCGAAGGAGCACAGCTTTGAACGGACTAAACTTCGAATTCCATCGCAGCCAAAGAGGAATTTCGCACGAACTTTTTTGAGATCACTCGTGCCGGTAGCATCGACCTTGACAGAAACTGAAACAGAATCCTTCTCAAAGTCAATGTCGCAAACTTCTCCTTGGATTTTGTGACTGTCCGGAACGGAACTATGCAATAACTGCATAAATTTCGGTCGGACAATCCAGTATGCCACAGATCCCAAAGTTCGCGGTGGTACCGTTACGAACTTACCATCGGGCATCCATTTGAATCCTTTGAACCCCTCTGATCTGATACTGGCATCAGATGCCAAAAGTTTATCGTAGAGTCCAACTCTTCGAAGCAGGCTGAGGCCTCTCACGTCCACCCGAAAGGAGTATGCTTTGGACCAGTCCTGACTTGAGAAGTTGGATGGATCCTTTTCAATGACAGCCACGGAATATCCCAGATCCAGCAATCCTTTGCACAAGGTCATGCCACAAGGGCCTCCTCCAACGATCACAGCGTCGACATCCATGGCAGTGTCAATTATTCACTTCTCTCTCTTGGACTCTTTTGATGCTGTTGCAGGCTCTTGCTGCTGGGAACCTCCACATCACCATAGACAAAGAACCACCTGATGTGGAAGAAAAGGCTGAAGCAGTGCCAAAGAATGTGACGAGCCAGCACAGGCTGTTGATCATTCTGGGTTGTTTCACCAAGCTGGGGGTCGTTTCACCAAGGCAGCTGTGACAACATTGATGGTGCGAAAGGGCGTGAGGCTCCATGGAGTTCTTCAAGACCCAGTCACTTGACACTGCCTGGCAGCAAAAAACACAGAAAAAAAACGCTGCCAAAAAACACTGCCAAAAACGCAGCAAAAAAATGCAGCAAACAAAGGGCATGCATCAAGCCAACGACATCAAGCCAACAAGCCGACGACATCAAGCCAACAAGCCAACGACATCAACAAGGCAGTACAATACTAGTACTCAAAGCAACGTGCCAACAAAGGAGCAATAATCATGTACTATTTTAAGCAGGAGGGGGTGGCAAATCTGCCGCAGGTACAGCAGTATCATTTCCAGGCACCACTTGGCCATCAACCACCAAAGGCACTGCCGCTTCCTGCAGCAACAGCTGAATCTCTCTCTTGGGAATCTTTGGGCTATTCCCCCAAGCAAAGAGCATGAAATGGTCTTCATCATTGGTAAGCGAGACGAAGCCATCCAATTTGCGCTGGACCAAACAAAGACTGGTGTTGTGCTCAAAGATGCCACCATAGAAATGATGCCCAAGACCATGACGGATTGGCATTGCAACTCCCAAGCCATGCATGATAAAATGCTGATGAATCGTCAACTTGTCAGCTGCATTGTCGTGTCGAAAGACAAATTGCCAGGCACATGTGGTGGGAAGTCCTGGATATTTTTGGGGGTCCAACCCAAAGTCGGCTGCCCTCATGTGCAGCTCCTTTTGCTGCAAAGCCGTGAGCTGATCCTTGCTGTCGATGTGGCTAGTGTTGCAAAATCCGTACACCAGCTGACGAGGTGAGTGTGGCTTGCGTGTCTCCAAGCATTGGGAGTTGTTGTATTTTTGTTTCTTTTGGGGCGGCTGACTCACTGGGCTCTGTCCCTCCAGACCCTCCTAAAACCACAGGTGGCAATGTTGAGACCTGGCAGATGATTTTGTCAGCTTCATGCCCTCCGGATTCATTTTGAAAGCAAATTGTATTGCTACCGTTTCCAGTGCATGGCACACACGAATGAGCTGCGGCCTCATTCCATGTTCAGCAAACTCGGCACGATGCATTTGTAGGCGGACCTTGTCTTCCACTGCCTCCATCGGGGTAGCCACATATGCCGTACTGAAACGCATATTGCTGTATGCATTCATGCCGTAATGGCCAATGCTGGTTCGTGGTATGCCACGGCGCATACAGTCCGTCAGCATGGAAGCACCTGGGTGAGTCAACTGTTCATCCAGCAATCGTCGGTCCTCACCCCAACAACTCAGCACCGTACCAACACAAGTTGGATGCTTCATGTCCCTGTGTTCTTTTCCCAAAAGGAAAACCTTGGTACCATGACGAAATGATTCACCCTCCAGACCTGCAAACTCCAACCTTGTCACGGCTTTGATACGGAACGCCTCAGTAGCACCAATTTGAGCCAAGTCGGGAACAAGATTCGGCTTTTTTTCAGCGTTCGTCTCCTGTTTCCTCAGTTACATGCAATCCAGCCATTGTAGCCAGCTACGGTACTGGTACCGTAGGCAGATAGTTACATCAATCCGTGACAGTGGCAACAGTACCGAACACACTCAGGTTCTGCTTTACTGGCTACACTCCGTTACCGGTACCTTGCATTGGATCCTTATCACGAATACATGCACAACCGAACATTGTCAATCCAGCCATCGTAGCCAGCTACCGTAGAGTTCATCGATCAGTGACAGTGGCGACAGTACCCAACACACTCAGGTTCGACTTTGCTCGCTGCACTCGGTTACCTCGCATTGGATCCTTATGACGAATACATGCACAAAACCGAATATTGTTAATCCAGCCATTGTAGCCGGCTACCGTACAAGTTACATCGGCGACAGTGTCAACAGTACCGAACACACTCAGGTTCGGCTTTACTGGCTACACTCCGTTACCGGTACCTTGCATTGGATCCTTATGACGAATACATGCACAACTGAACATTGTCAATCCAGCCATCGTAGCCAGTACGCAGAGCTCATCGATCAGTGACAGTGGCAACTAACCGAACACACTCAGGTTCGCTTTGCTCGCTCATCGTTCTGTCTGATGATCCTATGACGAACACATGCACAAACCCGAATATTGTCATCCAGCCATTGTAGCCCGCTACCGTACAGTTACATCAGTGCACTACGCTAAAAGCTAGTGTAAAGATCTTTCGAGTGGTTTTGAGTTTGAGAGAATGAAAGTTATGAGAGAGATTAGAAAGCTATGAAAACTAATCAACGAGAGAGATCATCATCAAGGATCGTAGATCTGGTCTCCCGCGGGAGACTATAAAGTGGATAGAGTAGGTTGCGGTAGTAATCCTACGTCTCCACGATCCTAAAACGGAACGCGTGGAAGATTCGTCTAGCATGGATCTAGTAGCGTGGAAGTACTCCACGCTGGCTAAATATCTAGAGCGATGTTTCATCATCAACCTAGTATGACTAGAGCGGTCATTGAGAACCCTGTCTCAAATGACTATTCACGAGAGACTCAGTCATGAGTCGAACTCAAACCCTATCTAGGATCGAGTCGCGAATAAGGCTAAGAGCCGTGTATTGCATTCGCCCCTGACAAGGGTCACAGAAGGCACGACATCAGTCGGACAGGAGAACATATGATTTAAAGTGTGGGGCACTCTCATGAGATTTGGATGTAGACATGTGCGTCGCACGATGGCAATCCTACGAGGGGATCAGGCCTTGTATGGGTGTATATACCTTATGTTCCAAGTCTGGTAGACTGTGCCGCCATTGGCGGTAGCATGTCGGAGCCGTACAGTGCCATTGTCATTGACTCGGTCTATAGTGTAAGGATCTTTGTACTTTGGCTGACCGTACTTGCGGTGCTGATACTGTTGAATCGTCACGGTATCGTTGACATTGTATTGATGAGGGACACGCGTCGCGTTCTCCCTATCGTTGTTCTGTTGGATTAGTCGTTGGCGACGTTCCTTGATGTACTTCCAGTTGGCTTCGAAACGGACGTTGTGAATCGCGTCACGATTGAACACGAGCTGCGCAGGCGTTGCACGCAAGGTGGTTTGAATCGTGGCATTCATGCAAAGCGAACCGCCGTGAGGACTCCATCCCAGGATCCATTCACCGAGGTCGTCTTGGCACTTGATGTTTTGAACAGCGATCAAGTTGCGTATGGTCTGATGAGCACGCTCGACCATAGAGTTGGCTTGAGGGTTACGCGTAGTGATGAACTTGCGACGAAGTCCTATTCATCCCGGAGAGTCTTTCGACTTCTGCGCGGAACTCACGTCCTCTATCCATGATAACCTCAGCAGGCCATGGATACCGAGTAAGCCACGTTTGTTCTAGGACGATGGCTACTTCGTCTGCTGCCTTGGAGCAGATCTCTGCAATCTCGAACCATCCGGTTACGGGATCAAGGAAAGCTCACCACCACCCTGCATTTTATTATCTGTTGCATATCTACTCCATCTTGAGATCGACATGAAGCGCACCGGAAAGAACAAACCAAAGCAACAAAAGGGCTGTCGCAAGGTGCTTGTGCTACCCCCAAGCAAGTTCCAGCTGCTGCTGAAGCTCCTCCCAAGAAGCCAGCTCCAGCCGAAGAAGCCAGCTCCCCCACAGAAGCCAACTGCGGTTACCCCTGTTGCTAAGGCCGCCTCGCTAACAAGGTTGACGTGGGAACGTTGCTACAAGACCCTGCCGTCAATCAGTTCCTCACTATGCTAAGCGAACAGCCTGGTCTGTTCGCACAGGTCGCCAACACCAGCTGCTGTAGTCGCCGATACTCCAGCAGCATCCAACAACGACGACTCGGTCTCCGAAACCAGCGTCGTGGAAGTCGTCGCCGCCACTCCAAGAAGGTCCGCAAGACAACTGGAGCTGGAACTGCCGTCGCGATCAAACAAGAAAGCAAGCCTGCCGGGAATGACAGCTCGAAGCTCGATGCCGACAAGCCTGTTGTTCTAGTTCGATGCCGTCCAGCTCAAGATAGCAGTCGCAACCTCACAGTCGAGATGGTCGGGAAGCGTTGGTTCACGGACTTCCTTACAACCACCAGGTCGAAGACCGTGGTCTGAGCGGACTCGACATCGAGACCAAATTGGAGGTCGCTCCGCGCTCATTTCCAAGCTAGTGGCTTTCATGAAAGACACTGTATACAAGACCCGTATCCCTTCTGTCACGAAACGTCGAACTGGTCTCCAGCATTTCATGCGCATGGGAGTTCAACTTTGGAGTCTCACCATTGACGAACAGCGCAAGGTGCTCTCCCAGGAGGACGCCACGTGCTACGCCGCCTCGGAGAGTGACTATGAATGGAACGACCCTGAGCAGCCATTCATTGAAGTTGACGACGACAGTGACGAAGAAGAGGAGCAGGACAAGAGCGAGACTTAAGCGAGGACGAGGTTGTCCTTCGGCAGAGCAGCTTCCGCAAGACAAGACGCTACCGCTACGGTACCACAGTATCAACAACATCGGCCACTGCTACCGCTACTACCGGTCCTACCGCTACCGCTACTACCTAGTATTAATAACAACAATCCATGTGTCGTCGATAGAAGAGTGCAAGCAGCGACAGGATCCCCCCTACCGGTACCAACCGGACCAGCCACCACAGCGAATTTTGCCTTTGAAATGAAGCCAACAACGACCGAAGCAATCCAAGAATGTTTTCTTTCTTTCGGCCAGTGGCAGAATGCCAAAGAGCAGGAACGTATCAGGTCGATCGTGGAAGATCGATAGCGGCTACAACGGCGCTACCGGTACCATAGACAAAGGTGTGGGTCAACTGAAGGCTGGAAACAGCGGATTTTGATCCGTAAGTACAGCGGCCTTGGTGGCTGGACAGAGGATACAGCCAAGCGGGCTCGGCTCCTCCTCATGGCTTTTGAAGAGGGTGACTTTGTGGTCTACAAGTGGAGCTACAGTGGTGTAACGCAATCGGCAAAATTGACCTGCCTCCGGTGCAACAAAAGCAACAACAAAACTCGACAATGGCGCTCGGAGCCGCTCCCACAGCGACGGCACTTCAGGTTTTTATGTGAACCAACCCTCGGGCTATTCCTTTTAGATGTAAAAGAGTTGGAAAATAGTCTCCAAAGTGTTACCCCCACCTATCTTAGTGTTGTCATTTGAGGACTTTTGACCAAATCTGGAGAAAACCTTGGGGGTGGACCCATGGATCTCGTGAAAAAATAAAACCTTAATGTGGCAATGGGCTACTGCAATTACTTTCGCTTCTGCGGAGAAAGATCGAAAACGCTCTCATCTCTTTCCTCCCACATTTTTTGACACACCGCATCATGGCTAGCTTGCTGTTTGTAGATCCCCCCAATGTGCTCCACCGATTTTGCGTAGCCCTCAAGAACCTTTTCAATATTTTTCTTCACAGCATCTATCTCTTCAATCATCACCCTGATCTTCTTCTGTTCTTGACAGACCTGAATGGCTGCTTGAGCTGCCGCGATCGAAGCATCAGCTTCCGCAATTGGGTTGTCAAATTCACCAACAAAAAGGTTGTACGCAGGAAACAATTCTGGATTTGCTGAGAAGGAACGGAACTCTCTTTCTGCAAGCCCCATGTTATGCACTTCGGATTTCTTGAAAACCTCTTCCATACGCTGTTCATTGGTGAGAACAGCATCAGGATCAGCAAGAACCATGTTGGAAGCTTGCAAGGTCAATGCCTCAGCCCTGGAATCCCAACGAGCTGTCAACCGATCCGTTAAATCCTGCCTCTCCTGTTCAGCTCTAGTCTTGTCAGCGTTGGCTGCTCTGTTATATGGAGGAACTCGAGTATGAGGTATCCCGTTGCTGTTTGCACCCCCTAATCAAGAATGACAATGACGCAGCTGCGTGCTACGATCGGATTCTCATGTACATTGCCAGTCTTGCAAGCCGAAAGATGGGTATGCCAGTGCGTGTCTGTACGTTTGAAGTCGTAACCATACCAAAAACTGTACCAGATCACCGAAGCACAATTTGGCCTCGGTTGTCTGCCAGGCCCCATGCAAAACTCGCCTTACCGGCTTTAATGTCTGCAGCCCCATCGCTGGCCACCCAGAGGGGCATGGCTGTGACAATCTGCTGGACTGAGTAGGCGTCCAACATCCATTCAAGCTCGTCATAAAGAGCTGTTTCCCAAGGCTCCAAAATGGCAAGGAAATCCTCAAATGTTGTCGGTGTGGTTGGTAGTGGACGAGCAGGATTGCCTGCTGTTAAACCACTACCAACTACCAATGTCTCACGCTTGTTGAACAGGGTCAGGTCTAGGACTCGCCGCTTCCCAGAGTCTGGCTGGACAGAGTTGCAAGATCGGGGGAAGTAGGGATCCAGTGGCAACGAGTTGTGTAGGATGCTGGCGTCGAGGTAGGTCTTATCTCCGAACTCCCAGCGATGAACTGTCCGTTCATTGTTCGGGACTGGATGTTGGAACATCCAGAATTCGGACTCCTCATTGTCAACTTGTTGATAGACGACGTTGGCATCGACTGTAGAAGAACCTGTTGCGCATCCGAGAGCTTGTCAGCAGAGACGAGCCACCTCCCCAGGGGTACATCCAACGTCAGATTCCGGAGCGAACAGGGATAAAGCTTTCCTCCACAACCACCAAGTTCTTGGAATCCCTGGGTCGATCTTGAAATCTCTTGAAGTAGGTGGTGCGAGGCATCAGTGGACTGGAAAAGCCATCGGCAGAACTCCTCACCGGATGTATGTGCCACATGCCGTTGTGATGTACAGCCACCGTGACAATTGGAAGTACAGAGCACGCAAGTTGATCCGTTTCAGCGTCTGCCTCGCAGAAATTTCGCATACAATCCCACCCAGTCCATAATGTAGGAGTCTTGTTCGCGCTGCAACGGCGGAATGTGGCTTATGCACTTCAATCGTGCCTCAAATGGATTTAAGGAACCTTCGAATGCACTGGAACAGCCCGATTGGGAGATGAACAATCGATTTTGAGATCCTCAAGGATTGGACGCGCCAATTCCGGCATGGAATTGCAATCAGGCGTATGTGACTTCACTTAGGTTCTCCAATGTCACGTGCACCTTCGTCCTCCAGGGCTTTAAGAACTGCTGATAGACCCCGATTCCTCTGCTTGTCCAGCGAGTCGAAACATTTCTATACCCCCCACTTCCAGGAACCATAGCAGATCCTTTCGCAGGGTTCGATCGATACCCCATCTTCTGAAGTGCAGCCCAGCGTGGAGCCGACTCAATTTGATCGAGATCGACATCCTTGAAGAAAGGTGTCTCCAAGAAGTAACCCACGCTCGAAAGGAAGATGATTCGATAGAACATGTTGGCTTCCCGTCTATCAGTGGGGATCCCTTCGGACTCTGGTATAATTGGGAGCATTTCTTGATCAAGGCTGCCTTTCTGTGCTGCGAGATTTTCAGCCCGGGCCTTTGGAAACAACCAGTGACTTGTGATCGTTGTAGTTGTCTACTGGTTTGATCGTGCGTGATGGATCCCATCAGTGTATTTCACCTTGATGGATGTTGTAAAGTCAGTCCCCGAGAACGCTTTGGTTCGCCACTGGGTCTAACTCATATCGAGATGATGAAAGGAACACTTCGAAGCCTCCAGCTTGCCACCCGACGACCACAGAAGATCACTCCACCACTGAGCATCTTTGGTTGCCTTCTCCACCAATACCTGCACTGTGGGAACGGTGTTTGTCAGAAAGCAATTCGTTCTTGAATTCGTATCATCCACAAACCCCGTCATGAAGAGCTTCACCTGCTTTGATCCGTCTGGGCTGGCAAATGTGGCACCAGTTGCATAAGGCTCGAAACAATCAAATAGAGTGCTCGAAATAAATAACAGCCATAAGGCCGGGGAGTTCCCAGCTCCTTGGCCAGACCCGTGCCAGGGATCTTCCTCCGTATGTCCGAGAAACGTGACTGACGTTCCAGAGTGGTCTTGATGTGGTACTGGGCCTGTTCCAGATTCATGCCGTTCACTTTACAT